CCATCCTCATTATATTCCCCATTATAAGGAGGATGTTGATGATGATGAGGAGAAGAAATATGATGAGGATGATGGTGAGGAAGAAGATGATGGTGATTACGATTGATGATAATGGTTGTTGATGATAATGATTGTGATGATGGTGATGAGAATGATAGAAAATGATTGATGAGATTGATGATGATGATGATGATAATGAATGATGAGAATCATCCCTCTCATCCTCACTCTTGTCCTTATCTTCATTCTCGTCATCCTCATCTTCATCATCCTCATGATGATGGTTATGACTGATGATGAAGAGGATAATGATGGAAATGATGATGGTAATGATGACGACGATGATGATGATGATATGAGGATGATGGTAATGATGATTATGATTATGGTGATTAAGATAAGAATGATGATGAGGAGGATGAGGATGATGCGGCTGATGAGGAGAAGGAAGATGATGATTGATGATGGATGATGATAAGGAAGAAAATGATGCTGATAAGGATGGTGAAGATAATGATGATAATAAGGAGAAGGATTAGGATGATGAGTTTGATGATGATGAAAATAATGATGATGATGATGATGATGATGATGATTGATGATAATGGTCGTTGATAAGGGTGATCCTGATAATGATGAGGATGATTGATGAGAATGATGTTGATGAGGTTAATGATTACGAATGAGAAACATCCCGTCTGCCCCTAATCCTCATTCTCTTTATTATCATCCTCATGATGAGGATGATGATTGATAATGATGATTAATAAGGATGATGATAAAGTGGTTGATGATGAGGACAAGGATGATGATGATAAATGATGATTGTAACGAGGATGATGATGAGGATGAAAATGATAATGATGATGATAATGAGGACTACGATGATGAATGAGTGATGATGATAAGTAGGATAAGGATGAGGTTGCTGATAATGAGAATAAGGATGATGATGGATGAGGATGATTAGTAGGATGAAGGTGATGGTGATGATGTTTACAATGATTAGTGAGGATGATGATGAGGGTGACGATGATGGATATTGTGGGACAATATCAGAGCGGACCCACTTTACGTGTAAATTCAAACAATTTGGACCCATTTTACGCAAAAATATGAAATATCTGGACCCATTTTCTTAAATTTTACCCATATTTAACTAAATATAAGGTATCTGGGTCCATTTTATGCATAAAATTACATACTTTGGACCCTTTTTTAAAATGTGAACCATTTTTTGTGGACCCATTGGAAAAATGGTGTGGGACTGTCCCAACTGTGCCAATCGCTGGCTATGCCATTGATGATGATGAGGATGATGGATGAGGATGAATATGATGATGAGGATGATGATGAAGAAAATGATGAAGCATGAGGAGGATAGAGAATATGAGGATGATGATAACGACGATATATGATTGATACGGACGTGATGAAGATGAGGACGATGACGATGGATGAGTATGATGTGATGATGATGGTGATTACAACGATCGATGATAGTAAGGATGATTATAATGATTAGACAACAATGAGAATGATGATGACGATGACGAATAGGGTGAGGATGATGATGACGGATGATGATAATACTGTAATGATATCAATAGTGGTAATAAAAAATATTATAAATAATATTATTATATAACAGTAATAACAATGTAATTCCTTCTAATATTAAAATATAATTTTGAAATAAAATAAATACAATACAGTAATACATAATATTATTGATTTCAACAATAATAAATAAGCATAATACTACTATTAAAATAATAATATTTATATATATTCTATATGTGATTGCTTTGATGAGATTGTATTTTGTACAATAGTAATAATAATAATAATAATAATAATAATAATAATAATAATAATAATAATAATAATAAAATAATCTTACAATAATAACCATTTTCTCCGCCAAGATGAACGCCATCTTGGAAATTGGCATTATGATCATTTCAATTAAAATTGATAAAGACAGTAAAGAGTAACTAGGTAACTAAGTTTATTGTCAATTTTCACATTTATAGCAAAACTAGAGGTGAATAATATAATGCCATAGTTTTTTTCAATTTACACCAATATAAATTGAATTGTTGGGTCTTTCAGAGCAAAATTTCGCTAA